AAGGTATTTAGGTGCCTAATGCCCATTGAGATCCCTTTATTTAGGTGTCTAAACAAGTAGCTAAGATTTTAAAAATTGACTAATGGGTTTTGTACCCAATGTGAAACACCTTAAAGAGGCCCTACCTTTTCAGAGGGTGAAGACTCGGCACTTTCTGAAAATCAGGCATATGGAAAGGGTCTTAAGTTGGGCACCCAAAAGCTGAGGCACTCAACAGGACTAGCTATTTTTTAAAATCTTGGCCAAGTGGGGGAAAATCGTTTGTAATTTAAAAGCTAATGAATTAAAATCCTATTGAGCAATAACTTTTATTGCTCACAATTCTATTAATATTTTCCTCCCATGTGATTAATTTTGAGGTTTTTTTTTTTTTTAATAATTTTTCTAGTCAGATGTTAAACAAGCCAAGTCGGAAAAAGAACGTTCAGCCACGTAAAGAAATGATAGCTCTAATAGCAGCCATATTAGACAAGGGTAGTTATTTATTTGTCTTCCAGTATATAGTGGGCCTGCCTTGGTGGGTTCTTATGTGCATGTTGCTATGTAAACTCATTGGAGAAGGCCAGGTTGAAAAAGTGCATGTTGCACTTGGAGCAAAAAGCGGGGAGATTTGCAATGGGCCTTAGCTTCTGTAGGTGTTTGTGCCACAGTCTTGGTCTGGCCCCTGGGAAAGTTCTGTCTCCTGCACAGACAAGATATATCTTTATTGTAGAGAGTTGCATTGTACCAGAGGAGCAGAGCTGTTGAACACAGGCTTCATCCTAGAGCTTCAGGCAATCTTTCGCATATCCTGGGCCCGGGTGACTGAGCACCACTGAGCAAGCTGAAGATAAGGGCAAAGGCCCAGATCCAAAAAGGTTGAGGTGCCTAACTCCCATTGATTTCAATGGACGTGACGTTCCTACATACCTATGAGGATCTGGGTCCAAGACGTGACGTGGTTTGATAATGGTTACGGGAAGCCAATGCAGAGAGTGAAGGGCAGATGTGATGTACTCACTGTAGCTCATGTTGGTGAGGAAAAATGCCATAGCATTCTGTACTAGTTGGAGTTTTGTAAGCTCTGAAGCCTTCATACCCAGGTATATTGCACTGCTGTAGTTCATCCTGGAGGTAATGATGGTATGTATAGCTGAAGTCAGGTCATTATCTGCCAGGAAGGGATGCTTTCAACTGAGCTACAATGATTTGCACAAATCGAGGATCTGGCCCGTACTTGTCTCCAAGATAACTTGTCAATTATCCATGTTCTTTATGGCTCCCATCACTATATAGCTGAACATCTACACAGGTTTCAAACTATAAAGGGTTTTATAGAGCAAAACCAACAGCTCCAAAGCCAGTGCAGACTTTGCAGCAAAGGTGAAATGTGATCTATGTGTGAAATGTGATTCTCTCTCCCCCCACCAATCCAGAGCTCCTATCTGTGCAAAACCTAGGGCATGTCTTCACTACCCGCCGATCCGGCGGGTAGCAATCGGTCTATCGGGGATCGACTTACCGCGTCTAGTGAAGACGCGGTAAAATCGATCCCTGATCGCTCTGCCGTCGACTCCGGAAATCCACCTCGGCAAGAGGCGGCAGCGGAGTCGGCGGCAGCGGTCGACTTTCCCGCGTCCTCACCGCCAGGTAAGCCGACCTAAAATACGCAACTTCAGCTACGGTATTCACGTAGCTGAAGTTGCGTATCTTAGGTCGGACCCCCGCTGTAGTGTAGACCCAGCCCTAGTTGTGTCTTGGTTAAGTTCATACCAACATGGTCCACTGAGGGGATGGCACTTCAAAGATGATCAAACATATTTTTAGGGTTGGATCACATATATTGACTAACTTGGTTAATTTTAATTAAAACAACAGAAACTTATTCTTGTAAGTAATAATGAAGATTTAACACAACATTACATGCAAAGAAGCACATCTCTAAGCATACTTTCTGACTTCTACCCTTGTTTCTGACTTTTTTTCCTCTTTAACTAAAAAGATTCTACCAAAAAAGGACTAATGGACCAATCCAGTTCAGATGTATTTATTTGGTACATTCCATTTAACTGGGACAGTTAATCAGGAAATCCACTTAATCGGCAGGAAACTTATTTAAGCCTAATGATATGCAAGGCTGGGATGGCTGCTTTCGGGAGATGGTAATTCTGTTTAACTGAGATGTTTTTAGGTGACGTAATGGTTCAAATTGGTGTTTAGCTCTTTTTTCTTCAGTATCATGCTGGTTCTGTGTGTCTGTTCTAGCTACAGCTTGCAGTTACACCTTACATGCAACACAAACTACTTCATCACTACCTGCTAACCTGTATTTTCCATACCAACTGCACCTGCTAAGTGTCCTACTGCAGAGGCTCCGCTCCATGGATCTGTCCAGTAATGTGAAAAAATTGCTGCAGCATTACCATTGAAATGGCATCTTCTACGAATCAGGGGAATGTATCACTAGCTCTGGGGATCCTTTTATCTCTAGATGTCTCATTCAAATCCAGCCCAGAGCAGCAGTGACTATAGCTCATTGAACATTTCTGACGAAAACCAAACAAGTCATGCTTCCCTCCATTTTCTAGTAGTAAGCTACTGAATTATAGTTGTTACATCTGATGGCTGTTCAGTCACCTGTAGGACATGATTTAATAACCATAGTCCAATTTCTTAGTAGAGCGATTATCTCTCTCAACTGTGCCATTTGCTGGCAGTCTCAGGAGTGAAACCAAGCAAGGAATGGGCACGGAGACTCAAATGTTCTCTCACTTCTAGAGATGGCCTCTCCAAATCAGCATTCAGTTGTGCTGACGGGTGGTGTTGGGAAGCTTGTATATCTGCTGCCTCCTCCGAACCTATTCTGCGCAGAAATAGAGGCGATACGTTCCAGGGCTAGTACATTTTCTGAACCATTAAATTGACCAAACTGGCAAGAGGAAAAAAGGACATGGGTAAAGATACTATTTTAAACAAGATGCAAAGCTTGAATAGTTTCCACAGTATGAGGCTGTAGGGCTGTGTGCCAGCATAGCATGAGCAGGCCATTCTTCCAACAATGAAAAGCTTAATAGCAGCAGTCAGTTCACGCTAAATGAAGTGAACAGGCTCACTGCTTGAAATTAGACCCTATCAAATACTGTGGTGTAGGTCCAAGAGATGTCAACGGTAAGCAGCAAAAGAAAATTGCAACCCGTATGTGGAGTTGAGAAGAGCAGGAAGGTCGTGGAGAAATGAGTAAGCTGATAATATAATTTTTAAATGACCTAGCAAACAAGCAGCTGCCTTTGACCCATGGCTAAGATAAGGGAGGGCAAGAGCTGGAAGTCTACTCGTTTAAGAACAATGACAAGATGGACCTATCAGCAAACCAATGGATCCCTTTTAAGTAGGACTTTTTCTATCATGCATCTCCACACCGCCATTATTTTACCCCAGCTCTCTGCATTTGAAACATCACTGGGGACCTATGTTGAACACAGTTTAATGGGGGAACCTAGGGTCAACCCTGGCCAGCTAGCCTGGGTTCAGAGACGTTGAACTGTGTTTATACTATATCCTAACTGGCGTTTCAAATTATTTTAGTGAGCACGGTTTTTTGAAAACATCGGTTTTCCTAGACTAGTCAAGGCTTAATTGGAGAGGGGACAGAATGTTGGAGCCGGGCAATTCCACAAGGGTTGGGATTAGCAGAGGGGACAGCAGCTGGAGTGAGGAATAGGAAGGAGAGCAGGGGACTGTGTGGGAGGGAGAAGAGGAACAAAATGGGGGAGAGGAGTAGGGTAGAGAGAAGACAAAGTAAGATTCAGCAGAGACTTGCTGCCATAGGTCCCCTGCTGGCCCTGGATCCTTACCAGTGGTGGAGCACAGGGATCCGAGCATGAATGGGTAACTCATCTAATTTAAAACTAACTCAGTCACTAAAATTTAGGTGGGGAATCCCCATAGGGTTGATATAACATGTGCAATATGTGACACAATGCAGAGGTCACCGTAGCCCTTGCACTTACTCCTCTTCTGCTGACTCCATATCTTCCACTCCACTTCTTGCAGATGGACCAGCCCACCAGTTTATGATTTCATTATTTGTGAAAGGCAGAACAGCTGCAGGTTAGGAATTTTAGGAAGAGGAACATGGTGTTCATAGGAGACACAAATCTACAAGAAACTTATATGAGCCCCTGGATTTGGTAATATGAATGGATCAGTCCCAGCACTGTGCTCCAAATCTTCCTCCTGCTGCCCATCACCTCTCTGCATTCCTCTCCCACTGCCCTTCTCCAGCCTTTCTCCTGTTACCAGCCCCAACCCACTTATTCTTATAACCCCCGCCCCGACACACACACACACACATGCGCGCGACAGGAGGAGGCAGAAAACAGAATGATGCTTCTCCCTCATCTGTGTCCTGTTTGACTCTGCCAGGATTTCATCCTCTCCACTCTGAGGTGAAGGGAACAGTTTGACCCTATATTGCTATGAAAAAAAAAAAAGTGAAATAGGATCTGGGTATCTAAAGTTAGGATTTTTATTATAGCTAAAGCAGTTTTATTTGAGGAGACCAGGAGGGTTACAAATGCTTAAACTGGATAGTTGCAATAATTCTTTTAAAATATTGTAATTCAACAAGCACTTCCTATTGATAACAAATGTGAACTAATTTATATCCACATGAAAACCAGTAAATGTGGCTAGTTCCATTCCATTGGTTTATTATTATTTTATTATGATGATATATGGCCAGAGTAACTGTAAGCACTACAGTACAGAGTTGGATGGAAGGTTAAATGCTATTTTGAGACCCTTATTCTCTTGCTAATCATACGCTCTCTGAAGATTCATTACTGGAAGCATAATTTGACTACCATTACAACAGATTCTACTTTAGGCTTCCAGGCAGCAGCAGCTTGATGGTGCTACAGAAGTTAGCCATTAATTTTTAAATGGTGTGAATGAATATTAAAATGTAATCACCAGAGGAGCAAACTAAGTTTTTTTTCATTTATTTCTTGATATCACAGCTGTACAATTTTCATACATACAGAAGGAAATGCACATTGGATACACAATGGCATTTGGCTGCATTTCCGATTATAATACAGTAAGTGCAACTCCACTTAAAAATTTACATTTATACACCTTATACAAATTAAAGATTGCTACACTATTATCTGTGACAGTATAAAGCTTGATTTATGTTAAGTTTCATTACTAAACCACTTCCTGGTTAAATATAAAATGTACTCAATCATTTTAAAATGGCCCTTGTGGTACTCGGCCAGTATATAAAATATTTGTCATGTAAAATTTAACCATTTACTTTTTTAAAAAATAATCTTCTAACGCTATTTAAACATTTGTTATTGAACTGTTATACTGACACACTCTGTAGCAGAAGTTATATTTTACCTTCTTGTTTGATCTTGCATTGGTCATCAGTGAAAGAAATTAAATTTATAATGTACTGTTGTTTTATTCAAATACAACCGGATGGCTAAATATTTGACAGTTTGCTGGAAAGGTAAATAACATTCCTCTATAAAGGAAAATGAAATTACATTTAAGAAATAATGTTATCTAAATGTTAATGGGTATAGTGCTACCAGCACAAAAAAGAAGTATTATATTGTCTTTAGCTTCATCTGAACACTAAATTTAAACTCTTATTACATGTTTATTAATGTTGGTCGCCAGACCACTTTCTTTTTACAGCTGTATCAAATGGAAAAAACAAAATTGCTCTTATTGCCGTCCCTATAACAGGAATGGTTTAGTTTCTAACCTCCTTTAAAAATATACATTTTACAATCCTTGCACCTCAACAAAGGTGACACTGACAATAAATACACTGGTTGGTTGGTTGGTTTTTTATTTTTCTTCACAATCAAGAGTCTACAAACTACCTGTTGTAGGCCCTTTCTTTTTTAGATTTCTCCAGTGCCTTGTCCATCGTTTTCTCATTTTCTCCTCTACATTTAGGGCAGTACCATTTGCCCTTTGGTTTATGATTGAGTCCCACACATGAAAAATGAAACCACTCAATTGGGCACTCATCATTATCACATCCTATCATTTCTCCATAGGAGACTTGATTACACAAACAGTATGTTGGTTCATTGGGATCAATAGGAAGATCCGCAGGGGAAGCCTCCCTCTCTGCTTTAGCCTTAGACCTCTTCTTTTTCTTGGATGTTTTTGCTTTCTTCTCCTTTGGTGTTCCTGAGGTGATGTCATCATGATCATGATTATTAGAAGCGTTTTCTCGATTTTCATTATTTCTTTGCCTCCTAGACCTCTTATTGTTGGGCTTTTCAGCCTGAGTGATTGTCTCATTCTTTGACTTATCTTGGCTGGCTTTGCCACTGTTTCCGGTGGTCTCATTAGTCTCTTGACAGGTCTCAAATAGTTCCACATGACTGTCCACTTGCCTGGTTCTATTCTCAACAAGCTCCACCATCTGACTGACAATTTGGATCTTTTCATCTCCCAGTTCCTGACTCCGGATCAGTGCTCTCTGTATGCAATGCAACAGTCTTCTCTTCTGCACGGCATCGGTCTCTCGTTTGAACTTTTCATAATAATCATCCAGCTCCTTTAAGATCTCTGCAAAGGGAAAAAAAAAAAAAAAAGGTAAAACTATAAATATTCTGCACATACAGAATGGCTGAACAAAACCTCCCCATACTATTGTCTCCCAAAAGCAGCACTACTTTCTTGTAAAGTACAAAGCTGATCAAAGGCAGCCACACTGAAGTTGAAATCTGACAACAAGTGGCTCACATCTACAGCTGATTAGTTGGTCTCTCTGGAACAGAATGCAAATGCCATGTAGTTGAAATGTAGAAACGTATTATTAAAAATAATTTCATTTTAGACTGTTACACCCTGTGCGAGTTTTGTGGGTGCAGCAGTATGTGATGTCTATGAAGCAGCTTGTCACAATGAAGGGAAGTTACAGATTGCCAGGTAAGTGGCCTAGATCTTCAAGTCTTTTCCTTTTAGACAAATCAATGAAGTAAAAGAAGATTATTTTGTATTTCCATCATTGGCAACTACAAAATTTGTTCTCAAATCAGAACTAAGAAATATCATAGTGGTTTTTCAGACCATCTTTCACGTATTAACATTAACACTCTGCTTAAAAAATAAAAGAAACTCCCCCCAAACCAAAGATGACAGGACTGCCATTTACATTTTGGTCACAAGAAATGCTTGAAACAGGCAGAGGGAGAGCGAGTGAGTTAATCACTGCAGAAAACAGATGCTGAGTTATTTAGTAATGGCTATCATACCTGACTGCTGATGAACAAGAATTCTGAATGCTGTGAGGTGGGTCCTGAGCTACAATGAGCTTTACTCGATACTGCTGGGATGGGGCTTAAAAGTGTCTCTAAGGCCTTGTCTACACTACACAGTCAACGCAAGTTATGCCAACAATCAACACCTGGTATAATTAAATCACTTGTGCATGTTAACACAACACTCCTTCTATTGGCGGCGTGCGCCCACAGTTGGTGCTCTAGCATTGACAGAGAGAGCAGTGCACTGTGGGTATTTATCCCACTGTGCTACTCGCCATCTTCTGCAGCTAGGAGTTCTGGGAAGGCGGAGTGGATTGAAGTGCATCATGGGTGAGGGCTCCATATCTCATGAAGCAGTTTTTAATGTACCATCATTCCATGGGCTTTCAACTGCGTTTTGTGGCATTTTTCAATGGGCCCTGTTTACTGTGCGCTCGCAATCTCTGTCTGAAAGGATGGATCCTGCACTGCTCTCTACTGTTGTAATCACTGTTACGAACACATCATGGCTGGTCGTACAGTACATCATGAGCACCCAATTTAAACAGGAATCAGAGGTGCCTGACCTGTTGTGTGCCATGGAAAGAAACAACACCAGATTGCTTTTGGCATTCATGGAGCAGCTGCACATGCTGAACCATCACTTTTGGGATCAGGAAACAAGCGCTGAGTGGTGGGATCGCATTGTTATGCAGGTCTGGGATGACGAGCCGTGGCTGCAAAACTTTTGGCTGCAGAAAGCCACCTTCCTGGAACTATGTGCGGAGCTCACCTCAGCAGTGCGGCACAAAGACAGCAAAAATGAGAGCTGCCCTCTGAGTGGAGATGTGCGTAGCGATTGCTGTGTGGAAGCTGGAGACTCCAGACTGCTACCGGTTGGTCGTGAATCAGTTTGGAGTCTGGAAGTCAACCATTGGGGCTATGTTAACGTAAGTGTGCAAGGCAATTAATCAAATCCTGCTACAAAGGACTGTTACTCTTGGCAATGTGTGTGAAACAGTGGATGGCTCTGCAGCAATGGGATTCCCTAAGTGAGACAGGGCAATAGATGGCACGCATATCCCAATTTTGACATCAGAACACCTTGCAACTGAGTACATCAATAGAAAGGGGTATTTCTCCATGGTGTTGCAGGCACTTGTGGATCACCATGGGCGTTTCACTGACATCAACGTACGGTGGTCCAAAAAGGTGCATGACACGTGCATCTTCAGGAACACTGGTCTGTACAGAAAGCTGCAAGTAGGGACTTTCTTTCCAGACTAGAAGATTCCAATGGGGGAATACTGAAATACCCATAGTGATCCTGGGAAACTGGACCTATCCCTTACTGTCATGGCTCATGAAGCCTTACACGGGAAACCTGGACAGCAGCAAGGAGCACTTCAACCAATAGGCTGAGCAGGTGCAGAATGACTGTAGAATGTATGTCTGGCAGATTAAAAGCAGGCTGGTGCTGCCTTTATGGCAAGTTGGACCTAAATGAGGAAATATTCCCATGGTCATAGCAGCCTGCTGGGTGCTCCATAATATTTGTGAGGCTAAAGGTGAGACGTTTCCTGGAGGGTGGAGACGGATCACCCGGCGGCTGATTTTGAGCAGTCAGATACCAGGGCTGAGGTGCACCGCGGGGAGAGGGAGAGCAATTTGAATTATGGAGGCTTTGAGGCAACATTTTGACAATGAGCTCCAGTAATGTTTCATTCTATACAGCACTCTGCCATGCTTTGTTAACTTGCCACATTGTATGAAAAATTTGATGATTCCTGACCGGGATGTGTAGTCAGCAACTGATGAAATTGCCACTGTGTATTAATTCCAGCATCAACCACCATGTTTTGAAGACAAAGAGTTTGTTTTTATTAAATACCAATTAACAATACACAAAAAAGGCTTGGTGGGAAGGGAGATAACAATGAAGGGCAGTGTAGGCTCTCATAGCTGTGTGTAAGTCCAGCTATCATTTTGGAAGCTGTCCAAAGAGGTGGAGTGACCAGAGTACCAAGATGGGCCGGGAAGTTGCAAGGAATGTGTGGGAGGAGTTTGGGGAGGGCATGGAAAGCAGTTCTGTATCAGCTGCAGGATGGTCGACAACGCATGAATTCTGCCTGCAGCATGATTAGATGAAACTTCATCATCTGTTTCTCCTCCATCGCTTTTATCATCTGCTCTTGGCCCATTAAATTCGCTCCTGGTTCTCCTTTCTGTCCTGCCTATTTTATAATTTTCTTTTAAAATCTCTCTCTGCAATCTGCGTTCTTGGTTTTTCGGCGTCTGAGGATTGGAGCACCTCTCGGAACGTGTCCTCCTTGCTCCTCCTTGGTCGCTTCCTTATCTGGCAGAGGTGCTCTGCCAGTGTGTAGGGCGTTCCACTGAAGGCCACATCTGTAGAAGCACAAGAAACAATAAACAGAAGCATGAATTTTAGTGCATGCACCGCATGGACTCATTATAGTAAAATGCACCTTTTTAAACATATGGATCAGTTTCTCACTATCTCTTGGCAAGCACACAGCTCAGCAAACACCCTAAATATGGTGAGGTAGGCCCGGGGGATGTGGGGGTGCGCTCAAGATGGGGCAAAGGGTCTCGGTGTTTTTTTAAGGGGATCACTGCAGGGGACTAGGGACAATATTGTAAATTCTGCCACCATTTTCCACAGGCAGAGGTCATTGAAGACACTATCTCACTCCTGAAGGTAAGCAAGGATGCATCTTTTGCATGCTTGCAGCTTCAGACCAGGTCCCTATGCTGCTCGCCTGTGTGCCGCTTTGGTCCCTGCACAAATGATTGCTGATTGGCACGGGAAAGTTTCCTACAATGGGGGAAGGAACAAAGCAGCTCTGCGAAGGAACCATCAGCAGAGGATTGGCGAGTACCTCCAGGAAAGTTTCCTAGAGATCTCTCTGGAGGATTCCCATGAAATCTCAGTGTGCATTAACATGCTGTTCCACCACACTGCTTTGCTGCACAGGGTAATGTAAAGCACATGTCAACATAGTCTTGTACATTTCTATCCCTTCACCCACTTCTACAATATATACAAAGCAAAAGACAGCTCTACTTCATATAACCGAGCAGCATCAACTCAAAAAGATCACTTACCAGAGCTCTCCTCTGCCACATCATGCGCACCAGAGATGGACTGCTGGGACTGGCTAGACCCCTCCGGAGTGGAAAAGAGTTCCTGACTCACCACACCACTGGATGACCCTAACATGTGCTCCACATCATCCTCCAACTCGACCTCCTCATCCACGACTTTGTTCTCGGAGCTGAGTCCACTGTCCACAGCCCCATCAAAGTTCCATGGGGCTCTTGGCATTGGAGGTGGGGTTGCTGCCGAGGATGGCGTCCAGCTCCTTATAGAAGCAGCAGGTCTTCAGCGCAGCACTAGAGTGACTGTTTGACTCCCTTGCCTTCTGGTACACCTGCCTCAGCTCCTTTATTTTCACACAGCACTGATGCATGTCCCATTTGTAGCCCTTATCCAACACTCCAGAAGAAATCTGACTGTAAGGGTACGTCTACACTACCCGTCGGATTGGCGGGTAGTGATCGACTAGTCTACTAGTGTAGACGCGATAAATCAATCCCCGATCGCTCTGCCATCAACTCCTGTACTCCACCGCAGCGAGAGGCAGAAGCGGAGTCGACGGGGGAGAGGCGGCAGTCGACCCCGCGCTGTGAGGACGCAAGGTAAGTCGATCTAAGATACGTCGACTTCAGCTATGCTATTCTCATAGCTGAAGTTGCATATCTTAGTTTGATTCCCCCCCCCCCCCCCTGTAGACCAGGCCTAAGTATCAAAGTTCCTACAGCTGGAGCAGAGCTGGGACTGCAGAGCCTCCTCACCCCACAGCACCAGGAGATCTAACAACTCAGGTGTGCTCCAAGTGGGACAGCGTTTGTTGTGTGGAGCTGCCATGGTCAGCTGGAAAGATGTGATGTGAGCTGTCCACACTGAGCAAACAGGAAGTGGAATTTCAAAAATTCCCGGGCCTTTAAAGGGGGAGGGGCAGATGCCTGGGTGCAAGGCAGCAGAGTACAAACTGCTGACCAGAGCGGTCAGGATGGATATTGTGGGACACCTCCTGGATGCCACTTACAGCAACATAACCAAGCCAGTGTCCACACGGACACTTTGCCAATGTAACTTTGCCGCAAAAAACTCTATGCCTCTTGTTGGGGTGGTTTTATTTTGGTAGCAAAGCAGGAGAGTTTTGTTAGCAGAAGGAGCATTGCAGTGTGTACACCTCCACTGTCTTGTCAATGAAACCTGACTTTTGTTGACAAAACTGG